ACGAACAACTCCAGTAGGCCGAGGCCGCTTGGTCCCGTAACCAGTTACATACAAACAGTGCATTGTTAAACGTTTTAGCAAATTAAACGTGGCACTTTTTTTTTTGTCCTCTTTTTGTTCTGATCCAAAGAGTATCCATCCAAAGGAGATGAGGACGAGGGGAGAAGGGGAACGCCGGGCGCTCGAAATCTCTTTTTCAGACGGAGTTCGCGGGCTAGCAAATGTTTTACTTTAGATTCTAACACGACAAGAAAAAGGTGGCTTTTTTCCTTTGGAGCTGATACATAACACTTTTTCCTTCTCTTCAAAGGTTCTGAGAAAAACTGCGATAGTAGTTATTTGCCATATGACGGTGTTATTAATGAAGATGGAGGAAAACGCAAATACCAGATGCACAGTGGTGACGCAGTTTTCCGCGGAGTGTACTCATTTCCAGTGGAACCCATTCCTCGGAGAAACTGCTTCGATGAGGAAGCAATGCAATTTCTTCAGGAAGGGGTAAGATAGAGCAACGTATATTTGAGAGCAATTTTAATGCTTAATCTCAACACAGAAATTGAAATAATGCCAGAGAACGCAACAGAAACGACAACGTTGGATAAAACAAATTAAAGTTCAAAACACGCAAAAATCCGGGAGCAGTCGACAAACGTGACATCCAATTTGCTGGTCTTGTAATTGTTAAAGGCCAGTTCAGTTTATGTAAATGCACATTTCGTTTCGTTTCAATTCGTTTCGATTCGATGCGTTGCGTTGCGTTACGTTGCGATGCGCTTATGCGTTGCGTTTCATTTCGTTTTGGTTGTTTTATTTTGGTTTGGTTTGGTTTCATTTTATTTCATTTCACACCTCGAGTTGTCTCCTAACAATGCACTGGCTCAATTCCGTAGCTGCCCGTGGTCCTGGAAAACTGCACATTTCACAAGTCCGCTCTAAAATGGACCATAGAGTACCTGGAAGAGAACCTTCAAGATGAAGACCACACGGCATATATATCACCTAACAGGACGTTTCTTTACTATGACGACGACAGAATCAAAGGCGCTTATAAAGACTTTAAACCCCCAACCAAACAGAGGCTGTTGTACTTTAGTAATTTCACGAAGCTTATAAAAGAGCTGGAGAGCGCTGACAATGGGAGCCGGGCATACTTCCAGGTAAAGTAAATGCAAGAGAATATAAAGAGCATTAGAGCTAATCTTTGTTCCCAAAGTAATTCTTCTCCAGTTATTTCAAGACATAGCACTCAGTTTTTTCGAGGTTAATTCTAACACGCTTGTTGCGTGGATGTTTTCGAGTAGGGTGCAAAGCCGTTTGACATGTCCATGCGAGCAAGATGCGTGCCACAGGATTGGCTATTTCTAGGCCATTTACTGACAGAGGTCTAAAAATAACTTGGGAGAGATTACTCTTGGAATAACGTCTGTATGGGAGGTATCTGTCTTATCTTTCATACTCTCTAGGTAGGTGTTAATCTCTAAATGTTTGAAATAATCCGGCTCAAAAATTTAACTTGCTTTTGCATGCGCAATTGACGCTGTTGCACGCATAAGAGCCAGAGTTGCAGAGGAGGTTTGTTTCGGAAGTTTGCTCTCGTGCTCTCGTGTCCTGAGTCGCGCGTACATTTGTGTGACCAGTACATGATATAAATGCGATATCATGCCCGCTATTCTCTGGATCCGCTATTGTTGGGATCGCTGATAGTTAAACATGAACCGTTTAATTAATCGCAATTTTCTTCTCACAGTCATTGTTGGTCCTTCAAGAGGGTGTGAGCTCATCAATGCTGGAAGACATTGATTCATTTAATTACACGTGGCTTCTGGACCTTGTAAGGCGCATGGAGTGGGGCGATGAAGTCACTAACATGCTATTGGTTGGAATGCATGATGTTGTCACTCCCACGCACTACGACACCTTGGAAAATCTTTATGTTCAGGTCAGCACAAAAGGCTCTACAAAAACGTACACACATCTTGCTCATGCCATGGAGCATTAGTTAAGGCTAAATGATATATTTTATTAGTTTTCTGCAGGTAACAGCTATCTTTTTAGAGACTTATCTCTGTCTCGGCCTCATAGATTTGAGATTGTCCTAACGAGGGAAGCTTTGTGACAATATTTGCCTCATTGACATGAGCAGTTCAGCTTATGAACGAGCTACAAAAATATTAGTTCTGAATATTACAAGGGTAATAGCGCTGTTAACTGTGTCTAGGAATTTGAACACGAGTTTTTGAATACTTTTTGTGCGACGCGGGCAGGTTAAAAAACCTAAAACTTTCCAAAGAATGTATGAGCTCAAAAGCGTTTTTGCAACCCAGAAATGTTGAGTTTTTAAATCCAATTTCACGTTGAATATTGCACCCAAAGAGAGCTAGAAGCTTAGCTGATTTTACCAAGTTGTACACGTTTTTAAACGTTTGTAGTCAATTCGTATCTAGCATAGTGCGCAAAGCAGTATGTTTATCGGAGGAAAAATATAAACAATGATGATCGCAACGATCACTCTATTGGGCTCAGCCATCTTGGGTAATCATTTCAGGTTCCGCTGACAGCGATGCAACTATCTCTAATACAACATTTTCCGCTCTCTCTGTATTCTGTTTAATTGCGCGAAAAATTAGGGCGAAAGCTAAAAATTCCTAGTTTCTTGAAGGTTTTCACCGCATCACTATCAAACTTTATTTGACATTGATCGATGTTAGTGACCTCAATAAATAATACACACAATAAGAATTTTTTTCCTTGCTGGACACAGTGGGAGATTGCGAGCGGGCGAGCGGGTCTAACCTTGATTCATCGGTCCCACTCCCAGCTGAGTTAGTCATATTTCTTTTTTATTTGCGTCGCAGATTTTTGGCCGAAAACGTGTGATACTATTCAGCCCGGATTATTTTCGTTCGCTGTATCCTTTTCCTGTTGGACATCCCCATGATCGGCAAAGCCAGGTGAGATTCAGTGATGTGAAGTGATAGTTAAGTAAATTCCGGGGGGCTACTCCCAGAAAAATTGGGTGGGGGTGTGCGGCCCGCTTCCCAAAACCCTTACCCTATTTCTGTCCAAAATCTGCGATATTCTCTACCCTATTTATAACCTGACCAAAAATTCGAAACCCTATTTTTGACCCTTAAATCGAAACCCTGTTTCAGACCTGCGTTATAGTTAGTTCCCTAGTTCAGAACAATTTTAAATTACCGTAAGCGTAATTTATGAAGGGCTTTTGTTGACTTTCTTTTCGATAATGACGAAAAAGTGGCCTCTTCTTAAAAACATACTCATATCAAGGTTAGAGTGCAAAAGCCATACCCTATTTATGACCAATATGGCCAAAATTCGTTAAAATCGATACCCCGGCTATTTATGACCAAAACGGCTGAAAAACCATACCCTTTGGGGCCGCACATGCCTATATATATCCCATATAAGGTTGTACCCCCGGGACTAAATTCTCTAGATTATCACTATCTCTTGTTCAAAGGGGGTTTTTGCTTTTTTTTTTTTGTTTTTGTTTGTTTGTTTTGTTTGTTTTTTGCTTGGTTTTTTTCGTTTGTTGATGTTGTTGATGACGGCTCATTATTTTGTATTTTACTGTTAAATTAACTAGACCTTCCAAGAGTATATAAATGGGTACCAATGAATACACCTTATTCCAAAATGGCGGCCAGTTTATTATTCTTTTGTTTACATGGTAATTAGCCCTCTTTGCCTCATCATCATGTACAAAATACAAAAGAATTTTGAAGTGAAAATGAGGCAAAGAGGGCTAATTAACATGTAAACAAAAGAATAATAATCTGGCCGCCATTTTGGAATAAGGTGTATTGTTAGGTCAACTTGATGCAATGCTGAGTAGTAACCTGAGATGACTGGCATCCAATGGCATCTATCGGGGGTGGGGGTGGGGTTTAGTAACCCTGCTATCGGAGGGGAAGGGGTAGTAATTCTGCTAGCCGCCCTATGCTACAAAATCGGTGTTAAAAGCCGAGAGCTAAGAGCCAGTTAGCATTAAGAGGTTTACTTCAATCATTTCATAACTTCTACGCCATTCTGCTTGTTTCTTTCTTGTTGAAGGTGGACTTCGAAAACCCGGATCTAGACAGGTTTCCCAGGTTTAACGAGATAGCAGGACTGGAGGTGGCCATGGAACCTGGAGAAGTGCTTTATATTCCAAATTACTGGTGGCATTACATTGAAAGCGAGATGCACAGGTAATCATAATCCTTCTACTCGTGAAGTGGCTAAAGGCTCGAAAATTGAGACTCACAGCTGCAGCACTTGACAGTTAAGGCTATTAGCATTCAGCCTCGCTCTAGGGTTTTATCTGCGAGGGTTGAACTTAGAATAATATAATGAACAGTACCGCGGCTTGTTTACGTCCTTCTCAATGGCGTCTTCTACGTACTGAAGGATCACAAACCGGTTTTAGAAGTTAATCACCATGTACTGCATAACAGACAGTACCGCATAAGAGCTCTGCTCATTAGCTTTACTTGGATGGATACACGCCGCCAGAGTTTAATCGTTTAAGTTTTAAAGGTAGAACTAAAGCACCAGTACATACAGTACTTACAACATAATGTTCATTTCAGTGGTCAGAAAGTAGGGTTGTAGCTACTTGGTTGAAACGTAAACCAAAACAAACAGAAGTAAAGCTCGGTAACTTCCATTTCCATTAGTTTCACGTGTATGGACGCCCGCCAGAGTTTCAGTGATTCACAAAGTTCTACAGGTAATACGGAAACACCGGTACATACGGTACTTGCAACATAATACTCATAACAATGGCCTGATATTAGGGCTGCAGCTACGATGTTGAAACTTAGAGCAGCTCAATTAATAGAAGTAAAGCTCATGATTAGTAGCCTTAATTCATTTGCAAGGTCACACGCTGGGATTGCATTCTACTAGAGTACTGATTTTTGGCGATTTTTCTTCCCTTTTAGCAACACTATATCAGTAAATTTCTGGTTTGAACCAAAGAACACGACTAAGAATGATGACGTTAAAGATCCAGAGAAGTCCGACAATAAAAGTGCTGAAGCCCTGACGGAGAAACGCCTTGAAAGTGACAAACCACAAGAGGACGAGAACAACCTTGTTTTTGAATCCGAGCAAACCGCGAAGAAAGATTTACCAGCGGGTGGCAATGACAAACAACCTAACAAGCACAATGATGAAGTAAAGAAAGATCAAGTAAAAGCTAGTATAAGCGAGGAAGGAGAAAAAGTTGAAACGGAGGGAGAAAAAGAAGAGAATCAGGAGGAAGAAGAAGCAGAGATTGAGCTTTCCGCTGCGCAATACCTGGCCCTCTTGAGAGAGACGGAAGTGTCACTTTTTCGGGCTACTCTAAATCACGAAAAGGTTAGTGAACAAATAGTTTCATGATCAGGTTAAAAGAAAACTATGCAACTCTTACAAAGGGGAAGGATAGTTCAGCTAGGCCCACTGGCAGATGTGATCGATGCGGTTAAGTTGTACGCCATTCATGTTGACCAGACTTGGGAAAACATGTTCCGTTTGTTTCTGTCGAGCTGTAGAAACACGAATGGAAGTTTGGGAGAACCGGAAATGCTTTGGGAATATGAGCCGACAGGTGAGTATTTCCACAGCTTTATCGAGTCCTTCCAAACTTCCACAAGTGTTTCTATGAATCGAAAGAAATACGGAGAACATCGATTCAGTTTCTTTTAGAAAATTCCATGGCGAAAAAAAGAAAACAACCTGTTTACTTCGAACATCAAAATGTAAATTCACTTTGCTCCACCATCACTACGTCAACAGCTTATGTTAGTTCTGTGTTTCTAGCGAGTTTTAGCCAGTCTACTAGCGTTCCATCACGAATGCCATTCGCTTATTGGCTACACCACTCACTATCTATTCTGTGATAGATAGTGAGTAGCGTAGCAGTGTGCGCTTGTTAACGAACTGGCGGCCACTTCTTTGCGTTTTCGAAGTGTCTGTGAAGAGGATTTAGATAAAGTTTTGAACGTCTAGTAGATTTATACTAAAACAATTAGATTATTCGCTCTCGATTTCTATGCGTGATCACCACTAAATTTTCTCCGATTCTTATTGGTTTAAATTGGTCATGTGACGCGATAGTGTTCATCCGCGGCGAGACACTRTCAGCCCATAGTGCCCGTCCGAGGAAAATACCCGGATGGATAGCACTTGTCCGTGAAAATATTTCTKTAAACAAGCCGGCTTAGAGAAAATAAGCAATTGAATTTGTATTAAGAGGGTTTTTGTTTGTTTTCTTTTTCAAATTTTACATTTGGCTTTCACGGCTTTCATCTAAAAAGTATGATTTTTGAACTGGCGCACAGAAGAAAATTTAGTGGTGAACAATAAAGACAATAGAATGTTTATGTCTCTGACTGTCGGTCTGATAGCTCCCCCTGGAAATTTGATGTTCTTAAACCTAGCATATTTACCCTCGAAGCTTCGCTTCTTGTTTTAAGAGCATCAAAGTTCCGCGGTGCAACTATCAGCCGATAGTTCCTCGACAGAAACACTCTTTTGTTTAAATAGAAATATCAAGCTCATAATCTAATTGCTTATTAGAAACACCATTTTTTATCCAATCAGCACGCGTAATTTTTTTTTTGGGGGGGGGGGGTATTTTCTAAAACAGGACAGTGCACCGAATTTTACACTTTAAGTATCGTGTAGTGTGCTAGTAGATTTTAAAGTACACATAAGGGCAGTGCGTTCGACTTAGGGGTGAATAGTCTTGATTAATTCGTAGCTATAAATAACGCTGGTGATTACAAAATTTCCCGTCCGATCAGTACGGTGGAAGTGACCATGCAGAAGTGGTTGTATGACATATTTTCAGAGACGCGACGGGGCAATCTGAAAACAAATCAGGGTGAAGCTAAAGTGCTGGCATAGCTGTGTATTTATTCTCACACACCACAGATGACTCTTTACTCCCGTCACTGTTATAAGGTTGGTTAATCAAGAAAACTACCTGGAGACTATGCAGAAACAGCCTTGACGGTTATTCAGTTTTGCAGTTTTTAACCGCTTACCTCAAACATTAAGCATATTTTAGAGAACAATACAAAAACAAAGAGAACAGATTTTTGAGAACAAAGAGAACATTAAATAAATAAGGAGATTTTCCTCTCAGGAAGAAAGTTCCAATCTCCATGCAAGGAAATAGTACTTTCCATTACCACCAAGAAAATCTACTTACTCCACGGTTTGCCTGGTGCAGGATTCTCAGTTTATTGATAAATCACCTTCAAGAGTTGGAAGGGCGGACGGTCATTAACGCAATGCATTCGTCGACAAAACTGAGGACACTTGTAATAGGCCATTTCTGAGCTTACCTAATGCCTCTGTTTCAAAACGAGTCCTGAGTTTGCGTGAAAATGAACCTGTAGGCGGAGCACATTGTCAAACGAATGGTTTCGTACGAAGCCTCGTTCTGACACAGAGGCAAAAGGCAACTCGGGATTGACCTATTATTGTGCTTTTTGTTATAAGCGAACCTAAATGTCTGTCTGGTTTTTGTCTCTTTACAGGTCAAGAAGATTTTGGACGAACTGCTGACGGGAAGATTTGATTATTTGTAATATTAATATTCAGCAATTAAATCAATAGCAAGTTAAACAAGTCAGTCAAACGACTGGGTAGATCGACTCCTTTTGAGTTTCGTGAGTAATCAATAATCCAACGAGTTCTAAACAGTACAAATAGTCCATGATATTAATTTTCAGTGCAGACATGTTAAACAGGTTAGATGTAGTCCCAGTATTTCCCTCGACCACGCCCCCGTTGTTCTTCTTTTTTGTTTCTTTTCTCCTTTTTTTTTCCCAAGAAAAACCTTATTTTTAGCATCGCGCTGTTACTGGCCATTCGTCAGTTGTCTCGCCTTGCTGTGCGTGCTCGTCGATATTAAACAAGAGTGTAAACAAATCCAGCGAAACTAAATGCTAAGTAAAATATCCAAAAAGTTGTAAGCATTTATTTCTGCTGTGTTTAAGCTAAGACAACATCTAATAGACATACACTTTGTATAAATGGCGTCGATATTTGAATAACAATACATCCTAAGCCTCACATTCATGTAAAAAATCATTTGCCTGGAAGCATGAGTTCGAGGCTAGGGATGTACAAAGTATTCTTATTCAAATGTAGGCACCATTTATACAATGTACTGCATGGGCATGTGAAATAAGCTCACTCTATCGAGGAAGTCAGTAAATCATAGAATTGGTTAAAGTCTGTTTCTATAAATAATTTCGTTAAGAGGTAATAGCGCGATAATGAATGAACGAATAGAAAACGAAAGAATTGACAAATAAAAGAGTTAAAATGATAAATAACTAAATGTTAAGGACAAACAATGAGTAACTAAATAAAAGTAATAAATGTCATAAATGGATAAACAGCAAATAAGTGAGTCAATCCTTAATCAATGAAATCAATCAATTAATCGATCATTCCGTCAACAGTCAGTCAGTCCAATCAATCATTCCATTTCATAGAAATATATGTTTTATATTTAGGTAATTTGTTAATTAAATTAATCAATGTCTACCTATAAATCATATTTAAATTTACCAAAATGCGCCCTTTTGTGCGGAACAGCTGTCAGCTCTGTACTTAGTAAGGTTCTTTCCGAGGGAAGCTGGAAACTGTTAAACAACACTCTATCGAAAGCCATTTTATCCGGGGTGGGGCGGGGGCTGGAGACGGTACTCCCTCATATGGACTATATATGCGGTCCAAAAGGGGTTTGGTCTTTTCGCTGTTTTTGTCAGAAATAGGGTATCGATTTTTGCCATTCTGGCCTTAAATAGGGTAGGGAAAATCTCAGAATTTGGTCTTCAATAGGGTAACAGTTTTGGGATTTAGGCCGCACACCTCCACCCAATTTTTTCAAACTTCATCTCGCCCTATTCTCCTAGAGGTATTTCTCCCCTTTCGGACTGCCAAAATAGCGGCAGCTTAAGACCATGATGTAATTCTTACGTCATATGGCAACATGCCTGTCAACTCATGCTGCGGCCTTGATAAGGAGTCAGTTCAAAAGCGAAATTTCATCCATCCCGTCTGCAAAAGACCACTAAAAAGCTATTAGGATTAACACACTTAATGTATTACAGCTTATGGCAATTAATTAACAATGACAAAAAATAATTGAAGTATTGCTTAATTAAAGATGCAAAGGAATGATTTGTAAAAGTTAAGAGTCTGAGACCCCATATAAAAACACATTCACCATAATTAATTATAAAAGCGGAAATAAAAACGGAAATAAAAGAGTCATTTCGACTTTTTCAGATGTCGCTGTCAAGTTTCAAAACGTGATCTATACATTTCGAAACGTGGCAATAACATCTGGAAGATGTCGACGCTTTATTTAGGTATATATTTTCGCTTATTTTCACATTGAAGTGCTCACCATGTAAACAAATAATACACTGCACATTTTTATTTTAAGCCTACAGCTTAAGATAACAAATTCCAAACCGTGGGAGCCGAGCCTGAACCTCTAAAGGCAGAATGGAATGTTCCTCTTGATACGGACTGTTTGCAGTATAAGACATGAACGGAAGGGAAATTTTTTTATAAGTGCAAAGCTTAAAAATACTGAATACTGACCTTTTATCAATATGGAAGCGCGCATTTGAATTTTGCCGTTCGTTTTCCGGTTAAACTGTTTACGCCAAACCTGACCATTAGGCTAGATGTACTTGAGAAAACTGTAGGCTTGATAAATATTTTGTAGAAATTTATCGAAGGCGTCGCCTTAAGTAATATTAAACTTTCTTCATACTTAGCACTTCGAGCCTTACAGGCTTTTTGTTGTTTGTCGAGAAGACACACCATGGGATGCAAGACCAGCTCAAATTTTGAAACCTCCAAACTTTCATGTTTGAGGTCAAATGCGTTGCAGTAAATGAGAAGGGAACTTGGCGCTGTATTCGAGCGGTAACTCTAGGATTTCACTGAGCCTTATATAACTGACTTGAACATCGAAGTAACTCAGACCATAACATACTACATCATGTGTAAAAATGATAAGATAATCAAAATTTTCAAAACAGCCATTGTGTAAAAAGAAAGAGTCATTATCAACCCCGTTGACAGCTGTCTCATGGTTCATAGGCCAACCGTACAAAATCCTTTGTACTGTCTACGATCATTAGATATTTATTGTGACTTAAAACGCGTTTGTACCCGAATAGCTAAGTACCCCTTGGTGAAGGAAGTTCAAATTACGGAAGACATTTGAGCGAAGCGTTGTGATTTTTAGCTTCAATACAGCAGCAGATACACCAGTAGCTGAGACGAGATGAAGGCGGCCAGAGTCTTTCTCCTGATCACGCTTGCGTTGTTTTGCCTGCAGGTTCCCTTGATTTGCAACAGTGGTGAGTGTTTATAAACTCGCTGTTTGCACAGTTAATTAACTACGCACAGAGACTGCAACGAGAGGCTGCAAAATCAATTTTTGGCTCCAGACACTTTTTTCTTGTAGTAGTTCATGCACCTTCCGTTCCGGTGCTAAACTTTCTTACGTCCTTTTGAACGGTTCTAATCAACTTTTATAATTTTCGATAACTGATTTTACTATTTGTCCCACAAACCGTTATGCATTTGAATTTTAGAGAAGTGTGGTACACACTCGCGAAAATTTCGCGACCCTTTCACTGCAAACAACACGGCTAGTGTTGAAACACTTTTTGCATTCGGTAAGATTTTGTTAAATCATAAACTATATCGTGGGAGAAAGATTCAGAGATCAATAGTGTTACTCCTCTTTTGAATTAGTTTTCAGTATTTACATTTTAAACACAAGGAAATTATTGCCCGGAGTTGATATCTTAAAAAAGCACATTCAATTTGATCACGTTAAATTTTGAACGTTGGTGCTCAATTTCAGTTTCATAGTGTTACACGTTTTAGCATTTTCGTCACATGTTATTTAATGTAGCTGCTTTGCAATACAAGATAAAAGTATGTACACGCACTGTACAATGTCCTAGCTAATCTTTAGAAAAAGCTACCGGAAGTCTTAAAGTGACCAAAGCATGTTTTCCTAAACTGTTAATTTCGAATGGCTCCCGTAAAACTTTCTTGCAAAAACTACCAGAAAATAGCTCTATAGGAAGAAATTAAACAATCCGGAGTTAGGGGCCGGATGACGGAGTAGAAAATGTGCCTAAATACTTCCGTGAATACGAGCGTGAATACGAGCGTGAATGCTTGCGCGAATACTCGCGTGAATACTCGAGTGAATGCTCGGATGAGTTAGGGCTCGATATCTTTGCCGTTCGCCATAGCAGAGATATCAGTGACGTCACCTATTGTCATTAATATACCAACCAGAGAACTGTTGGCTGATGAAACAAAGAGTTCTTCTGTTTAACGTTTTGAACATTTAAATAACAAAAACAAAGTTTGTAAACAAATATCTTCCCTATGTGGGGCTCCAAAGTTTATACAAAACTGATACGAAACTGTTCATCATCTCATCTAGTCGCACATCCTCTCCACAAATCAGAACTCACAGGATTTGAAGAAGGGATGCGTTTAGAGGAGTTCAAAGTGCCTGCTGCAACCCGGAAGAATCAGAAGCTGGAACAGCGTCCTCTGCAAAGTCCACCCTCGCGGGCCGGAGGCCGGTATAATAAGGATCGCCCTGGCCGCAGCTTGAGGCTGTTAAGGAGCTAAGGAACAAACAAATGCGCAAATTAGCTGAAATTGTTCCGTTTACCTAGCAAGGAATACTGCTTAAAGCTCACAAATGAATAGATGAAGTAGAAATTGTAACCTTCGAGCAAATAATGCAAGTGACAAGTAAATTAATTCCTTGTCAGTCACAGCACGGGGGAATGTTTTGAATAGAAGTATGGAGAAGTAATTCGCTTTAGTCAGCTTTTTGCCTTCGGGCCAAATCTGTAATCTCAATACAGTGACTGAAGTTTTTCCAGCTTATTTAGAACAAAGATCTGGGCAACTGCACTGTTTTTTTTTTTTTTATCAGGCTGCTGAATCACGTTATAATATTTTTGAGCAATAATTTAAATAGAAGGTATTTACGCAATCTTTCGGTACTGGTTCTACTATACACGTATATACTCAATGATGTAATTTATATATTCACCTGACGTGTAACGTAAAGGGACGATTGTACTTTTCATACGCCAGTTGAAATTGTTAACGATAAATAAAGGGGAAAAGTTGAATTACAAAAATCAATGTTGTTNTTTTTTTTTTTGGGGGGGGGGGGTATTTTCTAAAACAGGACAGTGCACCGAATTTTACACTTTAAGTATCGTGTAGTGTGCTAGTAGATTTTAAAGTACACATAAGGGCAGTGCGTTCGACTTAGGGGTGAATAGTCTTGATTAATTCGTAGCTATAAATAACGCTGGTGATTACAAAATTTCCCGTCCGATCAGTACGGTGGAAGTGACCATGCAGAAGTGGTTGTATGACATATTTTCAGAGACGCGACGGGGCAATCTGAAAACAAATCAGGGTGAAGCTAAAGTGCTGGCATAGCTGTGTATTTATTCTCACACACCACAAATGACTCTTTACTCCCGTCACTGTTATAAGGTTGGTTAATCAAGAAAACTACCTGGAGACTATGCAGAAACAGCCTTGACGGTTATTCAGTTTTGCAGTTTTTAACCGCTTACCTCAAACATTAAGCATATTTTAGAGAACAATACAAAAACAAAGAGAACAGATTTTTGAGAACAAAGAGAACATTAAATAAATAAGGAGATTTTCCTCTCAGGAAGAAAGTTCCAATCTCCATGCAAGGAAATAGTACTTTCCATTACCACCAAGAAAATCTACTTACTCCACGGTTTGCCTGGTGCAGGATTCTCAGTTTATTGATAAATCACCTTCAAGAGTTGGAAGGGCGGACGGTCATTAACGCAATGCATTCGTCGACAAAACTGAGGACACTTGTAATAGGCCATTTCTGAGCTTACCTAATGCCTCTGTTTCAAAACGAGTCCTGAGTTTGCGTGAAAATGAACCTGTAGGCGGAGCACATTGTCAAACGAATGGTTTCGTACGAAGCCTCGTTCTGACACAGAGGCAAAAGGCAACTCGGGATTGACCTATTATTGTGCTTTTTGTTATAAGCGAACCTAAATGTCTGTCTGGTTTTTGTCTCTTTACAGGTCAAGAAGATTTTGGACGAACTGCTGACGGGAAGATTTGATTATTTGTAATATTAATATTCAGCAATTAAATCAATAGCAAGTTAAACAAGTCAGTCAAACGACTGGGTAGATCGACTCCTTTTGAGTTTCGTGAGTAATCAATAATCCAACGAGTTCTAAACAGTACAAATAGTCCATGATATTAATTTTCAGTGCAGACATGTTAAACAGGTTAGATGTAGTCCCAGTATTTCCCTCGACCACGCCCCCGTTGTTCTTCTTTTTTGTTTCTTTTCTCCTTTTTTTTTCCCAAGAAAAACCTTATTTTTAGCATCGCGCTGTTACTGGCCATTCGTCAGTTGTCTCGCCTTGCTGTGCGTGCTCGTCGATATTAAACAAGAGTGTAAACAAATCCAGCGAAACTAAATGCTAAGTAAAATATCCAAAAAGTTGTAAGCATTTATTTCTGCTGTGTTTAAGCTAAGACAACATCTAATAGACATACACTTTGTATAAATGGCGTCGATATTTGAATAACAATACATCCTAAGCCTCACATTCATGTAAAAAATCATTTGCCTGGAAGCATGAGTTCGAGGCTAGGGATGTACAAAGTATTCTTATTCAAATGTAGGCACCATTTATACAATGTACTGCATGGGCATGTGAAATAAGCTCACTCTATCGAGGAAGTCAGTAAATCATAGAATTGGTTAAAGTCTGTTTCTATAAATAATTTCGTTAAGAGGTAATAGCGCGATAATGAATGAACGAATAGAAAACGAAAGAATTGACAAATAAAAGAGTTAAAATGATAAATAACTAAATGTTAAGGACAAACAATGAGTAACTAAATAAAAGTAATAAATGTCATAAATGGATAAACAGCAAATAAGTGAGTCAATCCTTAATCAATGAAATCAATCAATTAATCGATCATTCCGTCAACAGTCAGTCAGTCCAATCAATCATTCCATTTCATAGAAATATATGTTTTATATTTAGGTAATTTGTTAATTAAATTAATCAATGTCTACCTATAAATCATATTTAAATTTACCAAAATGCGCCCTTTTGTGCGGAACAGCTGTCAGCTCTGTACTTAGTAAGGTTCTTTCCGAGGGAAGCTGGAAACTGTTAAACAACACTCTATCGAAAGCCATTTTATCCGGGGTGGGGCGGGGGCTGGAGACGGTACTCCCTCATATGGACTATATATGCGGTCCAAAAGGGGTTTGGTCTTTTCGCTGTTTTTGTCAGAAATAGGGTATCGATTTTTGCCATTCTGGCCTTAAATAGGGTAGGGAAAATCTCAGAATTTGGTCTTCAATAGGGTAACAGTTTTGGGATTTAGGCCGCACACCTCCACCCAATTTTTTCAAACTTCATCTCGCCCTATTCTCCTAGAGGTATTTCTCCCCTTTCGGACTGCCAAAATAGCGGCAGCTTAAGACCATGATGTAATTCTTACGTCATATGGCAACATGCCTGTCAACTCATGCTGCGGCCTTGATAAGGAGTCAGTTCAAAAGCGAAATTTCATCCATCCCGTCTGCAAAAGACCACTAAAAAGCTATTAGGATTAACACACTTAATGTATTACAGCTTATGGCAATTAATTAACAATGACAAAAAATAATTGAAGTATTGCTTAATTAAAGATGCAAAGGAATGATTTGTAAAAGTTAAGAGTCTGAGACCCCATATAAAAACACATTCACCATGATTAATTATAAAAGCGGAAATAAAAACGGAAATAAAAGAGTCATTTCGACTTTTTCAGATGTCGCTGTCAAGTTTCAAAACGTGATCTATACATTTCGAAACGTGGCAATAACATCTGGAAGATGTCGACGCTTTATTTAGGTATATATTTTCGCTTATTTTCACATTGAAGTGCTCACCATGTAAACAAATAATACACTGCACATTTTTATTTTAAGCCTACAGCTTAAGATAACAAATTCCAAACCGTGGGAGCCGAGCCTGAACCTCTAAAGGCAGAATGGAATGTTCCTCTTGATACGGACTGTTTGCAGTATAAGACATGAACGGAAGGGAAATTTTTTTATAAGTGCAAAGCTTAAAAATACTGAATACTGACCTTTTATCAATATGGAAGCGCGCATTTGAATTTTGCCGTTCGTTTTCCGGTTAAACTGTTTACGCCAAACCTGACCATTAGGCTAGATGTACTTGAGAAAACTGTAGGCTTGATAAATATTTTGTAGAAATTTATCGAAGGCGTCGCCTTAAGTAATATTAAACTTTCTTCATACTTAGCACTTCGAGCCTTACAGGCTTTTTGTTGTTTGTCGAGAAGACACACCATGGGATGCAAGACCAGCTCAAATTTTGAAACCTCCAAACTTTCATGTTTGAGGTCAAATGCGTTGCAGTAAATGAGAAGGGAACTTGGCGCTGTATTCGAGCGGTAACTCTAGGATTTCACTGAGCCTTATATAACTGACTTGAACATCGAAGTAACTCAGACCATAACATACTACATCATGTGTAAAAATGATAAGATAATCAAAATTTTCAAAACAGCCATTGTGTAAAAAGAAAGAGTCATTATCAACCCCGTTGACAGCTGTCTCATGGTTCATAGGCCAACCGTACAAAATCCTTTGTACTGTCTACGATCATTAGATATTTATTGTGACTTAAAACGCGTTTGTACCCGAATAGCTAAGTACCCCTTGGTGAAGGAAGTTCAAATTACGGAAGACATTTGAGCGAAGCGTTGTGATTTTTAGCTTCAATACAGCAGCAGATACACCAGTAGCTGAGACGAGATGAAGGCGGCCAGAGTCTTTCTCCTGATCACGCTTGCGTTGTTTTGCCTGCAGGTTCCCTTGATTTGCAACAGTGGTGAGTGTTTATAAACTCGCTGTTTGCACAGTTAATTAACTACGCACAGAGACTGCAACGAGAGGCTGCAAAATCACTTTTTGGCTCCAGACACTTTTTTCTTGTAGTAGTTCATGCACCTTCCGTTCCGGTGCTAAACTTTCTTACGTCCTTTTGAACGGTTCTAATCAACTTTTATAATTTTCGATAACTGATTTTACTATTTGTCCCACAAACCGTTATGCATTTGAATTTTAGAGAAGTGTGGTACACATTCGCGAAAATTTCGCGACCCTTTCACTGCAAACAACACTGTTAGTGTTGAAACACTTTTTGCATTCGGTAAGATTTTGTTAAATCATAAACTATATCGTTGGAGAAAGATTCAGAGATCAATAGTGTTACTCCTCTTTTGAATTAGTTTTCAGTATTTACATTTTAAACACAAGGAAATTATTGCCCGGAGTTGATATCTTAAAAAAGCACATTCAATTTGATCACGTTAAATTTTGAACGTTGGTGCTCAATTTCAGTTTCATAGTGTTACACGTTTTAGCATTTTCGTCACATGTTATTTAATGTAGCTGCTTTGCAATACAAGATAAAAGTATGTACACGCACTGTACAATGTCCTAGCTAATCTTTAGAAAAAGCTACCGGAAGTCTTAAAGTGACCAAAGCATGTTTTCCTAAACTGTTAATTTCGAATGGCTCCCGTAAAACTTTCTTGCAAAAACTACCAGAAAATAGCTCTATAGGAAGAAATTAAACAATCCGGAGTTAGGGGCCGGATGACGGAGTAGAAAATGTGCCTAAATACTTCCGTGAATACGAGCGTGAATACGAGCGTGAATGCTTGCGCGAATACTCGCGTGAATACTCGAGTGAATGCTCGGATGAGTTAGGGCTCGATATCTTTGCCGTTCGCCATAGCAGAGATATCAGTGACGTCACCTATTGTCATTAATATACCAACCAGAGAACTGTTGGCTGATGAAACAAAGAGTTCTTCTGTTTAACGTTTTGAACATTTAAATAACAAAAACAAAGTTTGTAAACAAATATCTTCCCTATGTGGGGCTCCAAAGTTTATACAAAACTGATACGAAACTGTTCATCATCTCATCTAGTCGCACATCCTCTCCACAAATCAGAACTCACAGGATTTGAAGAAGGGATGCGTTTAGAGGAGTTCAAAGTGCCTGCTGCAACCCGGAAGAATCAGAAGCTGGAACAGCGTCCTCTGCAAAGTCCACCCTCGCGGGCCGGAGGCCGGTATAATAAGGATCGCCCTGGCCGCAGCTTGAGGCTGTTAAGGAGCTAAGGAACAAACAAATGCGCAAATTAGCTGAAATTGTTCCGTTTACCTAGCAAGGAATACTGCTTAAAGCTCACAAATGAATAGATGAAGTAGAAATTGTAACCTTCGAGCAAATAATGCAAGTGACAAGTAAATTAATTCCTTGTCAGTCACAGCACGGGGGAATGTTTTGAATAGAAGTATGGAGAAGTAATTCGCTTTAGTCAGCTTTTTGCCTTCGGGCCAAATCTGTAATCTCAATACAGTGACTGAAGTTTTTCCAGCTTATTTAGAACAAAGATCTGGGCAACTGCACTGTTTTTTTTTTTTTTATCAGGCTGCTGAATCACGTTATAATATTTTTGAGCAATAATTTAAATAGAAGGTATTTACGCAATCTTTCGGTACTGGTTCTACTATACACGTATATACTCAATGATGTAATTTATATATTCACCTGACGTGTAACGTAAAGGGACGATTGTACTTTTCATACGCCAGTTGAAATTGTTAACGATAAATAAAGGGGAAAAGTTGAATTACAAAAATCAATGTTGTTCTGTTTCAATGCTGTTTCACAATGGAAAAAATACATAAAAAAGCGTGTTTGTTTTGTTTTTGCTTGTTTCCTTTTTTTCTCGGGAAAGAGCATTTCAAGTTGGAAAATTTAATCATTCTAGTTTCACGAAAAGAGATTATTTCTTCCTTACGCCTCTCATTTTGCTTCTATATTTTACGTTTTCTGCAACGTGTCAATTCAGGTTGGTGGTTGTCATGAAAACAGACATTGTTTACACACTTTTGGACCGGAACTCGTCGGATTTCAACGAAAATCTTGCTCAAGCGGTTTAATTAAAGGAATATTGAGCGTGTTTCCCGCTGAACGTCAACTGAACGTCCTCTCCCCACCCCATACATAAGTTCAACTAGGAATTTTGCTGCCCGCAAAATAAATAAAGAGTGCATGATATCAACATGATTTATGGCTTTCAAAAAAAAAAGACAAAACCTCTTTTTTTTGTAAATGAATGGAGTTTTCTCCTACCTGTGTTGTTAACAAATTTGCCTGTGCCCGTATTTTTCTCTATTTACGCGGGGGGGGGGGGGAGTTCTTAGTTGAGATCATTGGTACAAGGACTCAAACGGGTTTACTTTCTAGAGGGTGTATGTCCTTACTTCACGTACATGCTACTTCATGTTTTGCTCTTGCAAGCGAAAACTGGTCCTTCTAATCATAAAGAGACACTCGAGAAAATGGATCATTTTTCTTTTCAGACTTACGTCCAAAAATGGACTCACCTCCCCTCCCCCTAAACGACCAAGTGAAAATGTCAAGCATTTGGGAAGCTTCATGAATCTTCCAGGAGTTACAGTTATAAGAACGTGATACCAGATGACAAGAGCAAGATCAAGAGTCATCGTCAGGTTAAAAGCTTCTGTTATTGAAGTTTTAGAAAAATTAAACTGTCGAGAAGTGAACATAATTATTATTTTCCCGTCACTTCTTCTCTTTGTGCTCGGTTGCACTCTCAGTGCACACTCAAGCCTGTTCACTCGTAGATAATAAATGATGTGGGACTCTATAGGGGCACTGGAATCTCAGAAAACATTTACCAAAAAGTGACAAAACTAAAGAACAAAACAATCAACGAACAGATAACAGAGATGTCGGCCGGTACACGGGCAGAACGAATTGATGAGTCCGCGATCAAGCTAGTTAGCGGTCAACAATGGTATCTATGGTAACTAAATGTTCACCGTCGATTGCAGCAGGATAGAAGGTCTGGCAGAGATGAACCAGTTTTGACGCCAAAACAGTTCCTCTAATGGAAGTAAAATGGTTCTTCCATTTGAAAGACAGCCACTCTTGCACAAGAGATACGCCGCTCTTTCTTCCCCTGATTTGACGCGCTTCAACTCCGACAAACACGACGACTCGGGGAAGGGAGACGAATATGCGAATTTTCTCAAGTAAGCGAATTCTTTTGTTTACAGTCTAGTTTCGCCAGTTGGCCTTTATTTTAGAAGTAACTGATTCATTATCACGGCGTTTTTAACTTCTTTAGATACTTTGCGGTCATATTATGCAGCAGATTCCCTCATTTTGGAGCTCGCTTTGATTAAAATTTAGCGCCTAGGAAAATTGTCTTTACGATCGGGCGCCAAGATAAAATGCCGTGCATTGAAGTGGTTTCAGATAAGGAGGTAATGATGTCAAACAGTTATTGTTTTGATTTTTTTTTCTTTTCTTTTCGCGTTCTTGTTTGGATCCTTAATGGAGTTTTTGGGCGTCAGAAGGAATATTAAATGAAATATAACGGAATCGAAGAGAAAAATAATGAATTTTACATTGACGCTTACATAGTTATATAGCCGGGTTATATGCCTAAAATACCCATATATGCTCAATTTCCGACAGGACGCGAGGCAGCGGCGTAAATCGAACCTACGTAAAATGATAACTTTAAAGAAATCCTAGAGAAACGTACATGACCTTTATTTTTTTAATTAAAATTTTAGTTATGAGGCTTACACATTTAGTTATGTAGAGGAAAACATCTCAACATTACACTGTAAATAAAATTGTTATCATAAGTGTAAGCGTTAGTATATATAAGACGTCATAAAGTATTTACTTTCCAAGCTTTCCAACTTTAATACATGTAAGTCGCCTTTATAATTAAGAACTTTACTGTTTCCTAATTTTATTTTATATCTTGCTGTAGTTTTGATCTTGGTGTATATGATTTATTCAGTTTTGGTCTGTTTGTTCGTTTGTTTTGTTTTGTTTTGTTTTGTTATTTTTCTGTACATTTCATTCCCAGTCAACAGTTGTTATCAGTGACTCACTTTGGTGATAAATTGAAAATACAACAAAATGCAAGTAGCTTGAAGAAAAAATAAACACCAGTCGAAATCAAAAATTGTAACTGAGATGAAAAAAAAAAAAAAAAAAAGGTACAGGAGATATGCAGCTCTGTGGAGGTGCACTGGCCTCATGGTTAGTCTGTGTGCTCAACTCCGGACTGAGTGGTCCAGGCTTGAGCCCTGGCCAGAGATATAATATGTTGTGTTCTTGGGTAGGACACTGAATTGCTCTCACAGCACCTCTCTTCACCCAGGTATACAAATGGGTATCGGCCAATTTCATTCTGGTTGTGAGTAACCCTGTGATGGACTAGCATCACATCCAGAGGGGAGTAGGAATATCCCTAGTTGCTTCATGCTACAGAAACTGGGATAAGCTCCGGTCTGATGGGCCACTTGGTTCTTATGGAGATGGTTTTCTTTTTTTTTTTTTTTTATCGGTGCAGCTCTAAGTATTCTTCAACTCGTGGAACACTTGACAGTTTTAAGATGACCGGTGTGTGACAAATGTAAACTGCAGATCTACAGGCCATCTCATTTTACAACTACATGTGCTTGCAGTGGCGGATCCAGACCTCAAGTTAAGCAGGGGAGGGGGGGGNTTTTTTTAACCCAAAATAGGGGGGGGGGCAGGCCCCTTCCCTAGATTCGCCACTGACTTTTGACAGCTTATGAAGCCTATTCGTCATAGATAGCTCTCTCCCTGACAAAACTAAATCAAAAGCTCTTATAAAAATGTTTATAAATACTGTACATAAATACATTAGTATTGCTTTACTAAACATGTATGTGTATTATACATGAAAACATCTTTCATCATCTCAGAACAGTTTCCTTTTAGTTATTTACTTGTTGACTCTATATTTACATGTAGCAGATTACTGGAGGATTGTTGAATTAAACTGCTAAAGGAGACCAATCTTGGCAGACATGGCTAGATCACTATTTGACCTCTAGAATATACACTTTAAAACAGGCAGAAAAGCATGCCCTGCAATGATTTTGTGGATAGTAAAGAAAAAAATATATTTCAAATGTAGGGACATGGTTTTGTCTGTTTTGTTTTGTTTTTTAATCATTTCATGTGCAACCTGTAAAGATGCCTTGATGGCCAAAATTAGTCGCATTTCGACCCAGTGGCCATCCCAAGTGAGACCAAAATTTGTGATCTACACCCCTAAATAAAACTGAGCATCCACGACTCATTCTAGTCCTTCCCCCATACCAATCCCAGCTATCTTTCTGAGGCACAAAGTTAAATAGTACGTTGAGAAGCAGTTATTGGGAACCATTATTTGAAGTAAATTTCAGTGAGAATTCTGCTAAAACAATTAGGTTATTCACTCTTGATTTCTATGAGGTGATTAAGTTGATGAGGTCGAAGGCCTCATCAACTATCACCTTCATCCTATCACCTCTATCTCGAGCTCATAATGTAATTTCTAGTTATATCTACATGTATATATATATTCAAATTGCTGCACTTACTATACTTTAATATTTTATTTATTAATGCTTGAATTTATATGTTTTAAATGCAATGATCAATGCAGGTCATTGGCAATTGGAGAAAGACAAGATGTTGGGACAACTAGGTAAGGGCAAAATTATTGTTTAGTGTAATCATGGACATTTTAGAATATAATGCTTAGTTGCAGTAATAGTAGGGGGAATAAATTGGCACATGATTTTTACAAATCATGCACCGTTAATCAGAACACTAGCACTTAATGGTGACACCCTCTGAATTATAAAATTAATAAATTAATGAATTATGAATAAGTTACTGTATTTTCTTTATTGTGGTATAGTGTCTGCAGTGCATAGATCTACAATTCTGTAATAGAAGTGTTGTTTAATAATATAATGATAAAAATATTATAATATAGAATATTTCCAAAATTTAACACATTTTTTCATGCAAAATTGGAGAGAAACTTCAATTATAAATCTCCAAATTGAAATAATTTTCATTCATATGTTATCTGAAGGTAAACAATATATACAGCAAAAACAAATTGAAAATCCAATAATTTTTTTAATAGTACCACAATATATTGATGCTGTGAAATAATTCATGAGGAAATCTAATTTGTAATTAATATACAGTGTAATTATATAAGGCATACTCTATAATTAATTAAGAACAATTTGGAATGGTGCACATGTTAGATATAGGTTCATGCAAACATGAGAGAAAATTAAATTAAGAGTGCACCATTAATTATAAAGTTAATAAAAACCCCTGCCTCTGTTACTCAGTACAGGTTTACTTGAATTTGTAATTAATTAGTATTTCAAATGTTCCCAATCTGACTTGAGTATTTTCATTAGCCCATAGAACACAAATTGTTACTGCCCTCTGCAGTTATGTATTTCCTTTTGACGTATCACTCACTGCATATATAGTAGTAAGAATGGCTAGATTAAAAAAAAAGAATAATAATAATAATAATAATAACAACAACAACAATAATAATAATAATAATAATAAACAATTGCATGTACTTTTTAGACCAAAACCAAAGCAAGGTCACTCGTCCCCATCAAGCAAAGATCCCAAGCAGGTTAAGAGATCAGGGGGGAGTTCTGTGTCACCACAGAGAAGCGAGGGCCTGCTGCATGTTACACTAACTGCTAAACACAATGTGCAACAACACAAGAAGAAAATGAGAGTGATTGAGGTGAGCCTATATCACTGTAGTTCTTTAAGGATATTTGTGCTGTGGTACAGTGATTGTGATTCCTTACTGCACACTGACGTAACTCATGTAATGTCACATGTAATCATATAGTAAAAGAGGATCAATAGCAAATGTTGGCTTAGCTTCTCCCCAGGTATACTACAAGTAGCCCCCATTTCGCTTCTATTAGCCCATTGTGTGTGACATGATAGTAAACCTGGAGGAAAAATGGCTCCACAAAATCCTAGGTTTTTCAATTGCGGCCATTTTTTTCCTTGAGACCCTTTTCTTCGCATCACTCGTAATGGCCGGCTTAAAGTAGAAGATTTGACACTGATCGCAAAAATTAATGTATTACATGTTCTTGTAAATTATGCTTTTCTTAAAAAAGCATTTAATAATATAATGTCTGATGGCCCAAAGTTAAGAATGCATGTAGTAAGTAAGGAACTAAATATCCAATATTGTGTATTTAATAGTGAAAGGCTGTCTTTCATCATCTCCTTGATATCTTCATTTCACACAAGTTAACAAATCCTCTTACACTCTTCTTTATAGGATCATATGCTGCAACATAAACAAGAGGAGAGGGAACTGAAGCGATATGAAGGAGACATTGTAAAGAAACAACACCACTTAAGAAGGACCATGGCAGAATATGAAAACAGTAAGGGAAAAACTATACTCATTCTGTGTTACCAGGAAAGTCTTACTGGTAATATACCTCCCTCCCCAACGTAAGTTATTTTTGCTCTCTCACCTCCACCCCACCCCCCAAACTGCTGTATGCCATCCAAGTTTACACGTACAGTGCATACATGTATGCATGTAGCTTCATGCTTTCTCAAACTCATTTTAATTAGTAATAAATTTAATTAGCAACTTGAAGTAAAGGGAATCATTGCCACATGTAAAACACCTGAAAACTCATCAAACATAGTTTGCCATGTGCCATATTTTGAATTTGAGATCTTAGAACTCAGTGTTTGAAAAATATGTGGTAAAAAAATGCTTCTTCTGTTTTGGTATATTTATGTTATTAATGTATATACTATTATTAACTGTATTAATAATAATAATAAGAATATAACCAACATAAAGTGGGCCATCATTGATTTATGATTATTTGTTCCACAAGGTATTTATAAAAAGATGAGGGGTGAAGAAAGTAGACTCAGTGAGAACAACCAAGGCATTGAGAAGGTTAAACAGCAACATTATATCCAAGAAGACAAGGTTTGTTTTTCTGATGCCATCATGGGCGACCCAGATCTTGTATACGATCTATGTGATATGATACAAATTATGCTACATGTATATTGGCAATTAGCATTTAGAACAGTTTTCCAAGCATTCCCGGACATTGCTTATTGATAAATGGTTGAAATGGTAATTGCAGTCACCAACAGCAGACATGTTCAACTTTAATGTTGCATGGATCGCATATACAACATTGTGGTCCGCCTGTGATGACATGTTTGGTAGATGCTAAAGTGCAAGTTCTCTGTAATAAGAGGCAGAATTTTGGGAAACTTTTATTATCATTATTACTATTATTACTATCAATATTATTATTATTATTATTATTACAGTTATTATTATTAATTTTATTATTATGCTTATTATTATTACTATTATAATTGTTATTTATCTTCTTATTTTAAGAAACAAATAAACAAATCAAAGAAAAAACCTTGACAGTCATATGTAATTTATTACATCATCAGGTTAACAAAGCGAGGATAGAGAGAAACATGTCTGGTCTTGTCAAGTTTAAAGACAAAGACAGGAAAGATGTCTTAAACATGTAAGCCTTTTGTGCTGCATGTTGTTAATGGAACTTTCTTTTAAATCGAACTTAGTCTTAAGATGGCTCGTGGAAGTCAATTAGTTATTTTTAATTAATTAGTAAAGAAAAGTCTGTGACATTCATTTCCAGCAGATAGACCACTCTTTAGGGAAGTTATGATGTATGGCATACATGAAGTAACCTTTGCTGTTTTTTTTTTGCTAATATTACTGCGAGAAATAATCGTAAATATAAACGTTATCAGGGCTCAGTTCGTGAAAGCTGAAACAAACATGTTGTTTAGTATACTTACTTCTTTACTACACTGATTAAAATTTGATCACAAGGGTTTCGCGTTTGTTTGGTTGTTCAGGGGCGAAGCTGAATTTCAGTATTGCAAGACTGCCAAGCAATTGGACTTGACTCGATCAGAGATTTTTGCGCTAACACAGCAGTTTGAAGAGGACTTAAAAAGAATAGAGGTCAGTTAGTTACTGTTAGTTATAAATTATCTGTGCTACATGGCACCGAACTCTCTTTTTTAAAGTTCTTGAAGTTGATCGGTAATCATTGGGCCTTAGTCTGGCGCTTAGCGCGTCCTACGAGATGACACTGCAAGCTAAACTTGGCGAGATCCCCTTGCAGGAGCATATAAGCAGGAATAAACGGACAGGCGGGCAAGGTACCGAATACGCAAATGCAACTGTACGTCATAGACCAGCCGCGGATCTTTCTTTCTTTTTTTTTTTTTTTCGTTTCTTTTTTGTAAAGTTCGTAGACATATTAACTATTAAAATACAACGAAGCTTGACCAGGGAATTGCCCGATGCTTGAGCTACAACGATGACATGTGCTTAATTCATTAATAAACAAGCGCAATTCCTATGGTGAACATTCCAACGCACTTACCAATCCCTGATTACTCCTAGCAATACACTCATCGACAGCAAAATCTCTGGATTCTGATTGGTAGATACATCTATAGCATTCATACATTAATCGAGATCATGTTAGCATGATCATGATCATGTTTGCACGTATTTTCAACAGGAGAAAGGATATGCATTGAAGAAGAGTCTAGCTGACCTAGCTATTGCTGCAAATAAGATAGCACTCAAAAAGAGATCACAAGAAATAGACGATCAGCGGTAAGATACAGGGACTGAAAATAGAGGTTACTCCAGCCTAGTTAGTTTAGTCACTTTATATCAAAATAAAGTCCAAGGTAACAAACAGAATAATTTTATTTTTCGCTGGGCGGTCCGAATTCTGCAATACGGACCGCCAAGGTGAATCGAATCACTTTCGGCGAATTCGTTTTACAAAGCATCACTCAAAAGAAAACTGTAGAAATCTTTGTTTTTCCTTTTTGTCTATAACTGAGCAGACAGTTTGAGTTTAACTTTATGCAAATCTAAATAAATGAGTAAACTTTTTCGCGCGTGCCCCGAGAATTGTAAATCACTCCGAACACGAAACGACCAACGTTCATGCACCAACAGCAAGCAGCACACTAAAAAAGCTGACGATCTTCATGGGAGCCTTATCGAGGTACTGGTCAAAAATCGTTTGGATAGCCAGGATCTGTATAATTATTGCTAGGATCTTCAAAGATCTTGTCCCAGATCCTTAAGGATCTTCGAAGATCTTCAGAAAATTTGCTCAAAGATCTTGCCAAGAACCTTCAAGATCCAGGAAGATTTTTGCGAAGATTTTCACAAGATCTTCCATGTAAGGATTCTAGTAAGATATTTTTAAGACCTCTTGAAAGGATCTTTGAAAATTCCTGATCTTTTAGGATCTTTAGTAATGACTTCAAAGAGCTTGGAAGGTCCTGTGACCATGCAGAGATTAGTCACCGAAATTGTACTGACATCTAAACGATCATTTTGGATTTGTCAATAGCCCCATGGCGTCTGCTTTCTCATGTTAAAACCAACCAGCCGAAGAGAGAATTAAAAAACACTGACATATAGTTAATTAAACTTTATGCTTTGGAAATTGTGATGACTAGTTTACTTAAAATAAACTCCGTTATTGATTTACGCAGTTACATGAACACTGTACTTGAGGTTACACGAACGAACGGTTTTGTCTGTTTTGCAGATATTGGAAAGACACAAGTATCAAAGATATTCAGGTTTGAAAATAAAGTGCTATATGTCTCTTTGACAATAGTGTCATGTCTGTAGGTGAATCACAGGACCTGTAATAGATAGTAAAATTAGACTAGGTGTGTTGTTTTTCTTAGCAGTAATAACAATTGTTTGTGTTGATTTGTTTACAGGATGACAGACGGCGCAAGCAAAGCTTGACAGAGAAACTCAAGTAAGTACATCCACTAAGATGAGTTTAAAAGAAATCAATTAAGTAGTTCGTGTGGTGTGTATTTTTGTTTTGTTTTGTTTTGCTTTGTTTTGTTTTGTTTTTTTTTTCATTGCATGAAACTTTCTGGGTAATGTGATGGAGAGGGTCTAAAAAAGATTCAAAGAGCGATTTTTGACGCTCAATGGTTCTCTGGTTGGTTTGGAATACAGACGAGATCGTCACGTGGTGTGATAAAAATGAGTGCTCAGTTAACTTCACCAAATACTGTAGAAGTTTTCACTACACAACGCAACTCTAGCAAATCATGAACGCACGCACTAAATACAGAGTTCCCCATGTTGACTTTTTAGGTAGCAAGTATGCTTCTTTACCTGCAAATGAGCAATTTCCTTGTTATGGCAATGTACAAAACTGCCTTCCTCTGAATCATAATGTATACTAATAAAAAGGAAAAGTACCTAATTAACATGGTACAGTACATCAATAAAACAATGTAGATAGATGACAATCGGTAATCTAGAGGCTTTTAAATTCACCCAAAAAGCTCTTGCACGCCTTGCGTGCCTGTGTTTTTTAAGATGTATCCTGCGATATATGCGTACGAAATGTGAAATTTGCTCTCTTGTTGTGGTGGAAAATACTCGTAGTAAAATGTCGACACTTCAATCTTTTTTTGTAGAGGGATATCAAACCAAGGACTTAAACATGAATACGGCAAGCGACGGTTGAGTAGAGACTTGATGGTATCTAAGGACATGTTGTCTTTGAAGACAAGAGAAGGTAGGTTTTTTTGATGTCTTAATCCCGTAGAAATATCTTGTATTGTCAAGATAGATATAAATCAATTTAACGGGTGATCTCATACTGATGGTTACTGTACAGCTGAAAGTCGTGTTTTAATGGAGGTTTTTTCGTTCGTAATTTGCTGCGTCACAGGTGAATACGGGTATTATTTACAGTTTCACCAGCAAATAACTTGGGGTATCATAATGTGATTAACAAAACCAATGTTAATATCTCTCCTTTTCGTGTCTATTATAGAGGGCCGAAAAATGACAGATATAAATCGCAGGTTACAACACAATTCAGTGAGCCAGAAGCAAGCTAAACAGGCGGCAGAGTATCTTGAACTTGATCGTCAAGGGAAGGAGATTGAAGAGCGAGGACAGGTGAGTAAGGGGCCTCCTACCTCCACGGAGGGGGTCTCCCATATAAAAAGAACCGGACTGCTCGTCGGATATTTTGAAAAGAACCCCTAAGAGGTAACAAGATTCTGTTTTGAGGCGTGGCCTGAAATTTATTTTCTCCCCTAAGAGGTTTCAATTCTTTCATATTTTTTTTGGCTCAATACCCAAGGTACCGTAAAAGCTCCCGCTGTGGACCTAAGAGCCCCGTCTGTTTGATATGGTAGGACCCCCCCACCCTCCGGCCTCTTGTACCGTGTACAGGGTTCTTTAAAACTGGTCAAACGAAACAACAGTTGCAGAACACAAACAATGTCCCTGGCCCTATTTGAAGAACAACAGAGGCGCGAGAACGAATCGAAACAGAGGCTTTAAAGCAGTGAAGATCAATTGGAGCGTTAGCCTGTGGCGCACACTTTACACCGTTACAGTTAGGGTGACACTACCGGCTTTGTAACTGTTGCAAGCTAGTGAGGGTCTGATAACAACAACAATTATATACATACCTTTATTACCGATTTTTACACTTAATTTATAACTTTCAGACATTTAGAAATCTGTCCACGACTAGACTAGGTATTCGTTTTCTTAATTACGTCATGATTATTCGAAAATAATTTGCTTTAAGCTGGCGAAATGTATGCATCGTCGGTAGAAGGATCGCATTACAAGCCTGTGTCAGGAACCAAAACATCTATACAAGGAAAGCCTCAAACACTTTTTTTTTGGACTGTGATTTCAATCGAAGTCCTGAAAGGGATATCCGCTAGTGCCAGTTTATGGGCAGTGTAGTTAGGAAATGCTGTATTAAGTTTAGGAAAATTACAACTTTTATACACTATATTTATTTAGCTAATTAATCCGTTTTTTCTCAGTTTGCCGAGGCTCGAAGAAACCAGCAGATTGAGCAGCTGACTAAGGACAGGAAGCATCAACATGTCCATCAAATGGTGGAGTGGAAGAAGCGCTATCTAGAAAAGCAAAATGAAACCACTCGACGTGCGCACGAGGACAGTCTAAAGCATTTACAGGTGATTATCAGGATACAAATTCTCGTTACCAATCAATATACTTTTGTCATACTATAGTGAAGGGAATTCAGTTGCGAGAACTCTTTGACAAAGTTTGTCATTGAATGTGCCTGTAGACTCCGAACTTTTCATGAGACGAACCTACAGTATAACTCCAACTTTGGTTAGCCCAAACTGACAATAGTTCACCTACTTTGTACTCTTACACCACTTGACTCTCCATAAAAAAAATAAGAAAAAATGGTAAAGCCTAAATATGCAATCTGCACTATCTATGTAACTTTCCAATAGCGATCAGAAACAGAGCGAAATAGTGTTGGAGCAAGCAACACTGAAAATCGAAATTCCATGGCGACGACAGCTGATATATTTAAGCTAATTGCAATTATCTTCTATGCATTGATGCTTTAGAAAGTTGTAAACAAGATGGAGGAGACTGAGCATGCGCTTTACAACCGTGTACGAGCCGCCGAAATGCAGCGACGAAAGCAGGAACAAGATGTACAGAGAATCTTCAACGACCTGGAATCACTGACGAAAGAAAACCAAAAACGAATGAGGGTATGTGCAAGTCGTTGTCTTTTTAATTTTAAACTAGGCGGCGAGCATGTCTACTTTTTCGTTCAAGCAAAGTGAAAAAGGTTTCGTAGAACACTCATTTAGCTGGAAAAATCGTTCAAAATCAAGAGGATAGAAAATAGAGAGCGATTGAAACCGGGCATATTTCTAGGTGAGTGGGATTGAAGCGAATACCATCTGTAGAAAAAAAAACCTTTTGAGGGCAAAATTGAGAATAAGGAATAATGTCCTACAATTAGCCAATCAGAGCGCGCGTTATTTCGGTTACAAGAAAAAGCCAAATAATAATTTACGCTTCATAAATATAATAGTTGACTATGCCAGACTTTTTCCAGTTCGACGTGGATTCATTATTTGTGATTCGCGTTCGTTTTCCTTATTTGCTCCTTATCCAAGTTATTTGTACTGCTGCTGTACCGTAACTTGTGAATTTTAATTTTCCCGGCTTACAGGAAACCCAAGAACAGTATAATCGAAAAAAAGTTGATTTAGAACAGAAGCTTTTACGAGAGAAAGCTGAGCTGGCAAAGGTAAGTGATCCGGTAAAGAAAACGGCGAATTACTTTTAAATCAAGAAATTACATAAGTAATGTGTCCTTTTTGTTCATACAAATTAACAAAAAGTAGATAAATAAAGCAAAAAAATAGACTGCCAAACAAGAAAGAAAAGCTACATCTGCTGTAGGCTTCTTTCGTTGAGAACTCAAGAATAAGCTCAACCCACAGGAACAAGCCACATGTGAAAGTAGTGTGGGTGGCCTGGCGCGCAAATTGGGGCTTGGATTTTTTACAAATATACGGCGTTTTCACTCGCGTGGCCAACAGCCATGCAAAATTATTGGAACAGAATAAAATTGTTTACATAAGAAAAGAGTTAAAGTCCCACAAGATTGGTTTGGTACACCAACACTACAGGGCCGCCGTTTCATTCTTTTGGGACACCATAATATGGCTGCCGTGACGTCGCGTAAAAACACCCAATACTTGAGCAAGTTACAATCTGGGCTCCCAGCTCCTTTTCTTACATTTGTTACTGAAGTTATCGTTGTATTCACTTTCAAGGCTCACCATCAACGCGAAGAAAGCATCCAGAGGCTGTTACATCACAGATCAAGGATGAATGGAGACAGATACATGCTGTCAGAGGAAGAACGGGTATGATACCTATTACAAACTTGAATGAAACACAAATTATTAAATTAGTAAAAAACAAACAACCAACCAAGCAAAAAAAACTTCATAGTGTTCCTTTTGGTCACGGGGGACCCGGATACTCTATCAGCAATAATATAATCATTTACATTCATGTCAAATAAATATGCTGTTATTTACTTGTTTTTGATCCGTGTAGAAGGGATTTCCATAGAAGCGAAGTTGGTTTACATTTCAAATAACATCTTGTCTGCCGCTTTGTAAATATGACGCTCCAATTATATTACGTCTCGAGTTTTCATTATCGTCATTAACTGTTAACACTCATCGGGGGAGATATTCTGATATTTGAAATGTAAACCGACTTCGCTTCTAGTCAAATCCCTTCTAAACGGCTCAAAAAGACCCAGGAACACAGATAAATAACAGTACACATTTATTTTACATGAATGTAAATGATTATGTTATTACTGATACAGTGTTCGGGTCCACGCTTGTTTATGAGAAAAGACATGCTTTAATTAATTAAAGAAAAACGCCCCATCTGATGTACTCATACCACTGACCTACCCCCTGCCCCTGTGCACTAGCCCCTAACCTGTATAATCAAGATCTCGAGCTCAATCGTATATATATAAAAAAAAAAACGCTTTTTCATGAGACAAAAAAAAGCCCCATATCTACTAATATACCAAAAACCACTATCGAACGCCAGCCCACTAGATATATGGTAATAGCTCCAAATGGACTTGGTGGTCGTTGAATAACACGAGCATACTTTACGCATTTTTCTTTTTTACAGGAGCATGACCGTCTATCAAGGATTGGCCAGAAAACAGATCATTTGGAACAAGAAGTTCAATCTTGACCACCGTGATATGTGACGTCATCTCCAGGCGCAAAATTGTTCTGCGTGTGAACGTGTTTTTATGGTGGTTGTTGTTTTTGTTGTTACTGTTGTTGTGTTTGTGAGTGTGAAACTTTTTACTCTTTCCTCTAGTTCTTTTAAGCCAAGCTGAAAAGCTTTCCAAAATCATTCAACGTATCTTTCATTTTCAGGATAATTTTAATTTTTCGATACGTCCTGGCTTGAATGGTCAATTCAAACCGAGTCATTTACTTACTGAGTTGTAAAATAACAGAAAAAAAGACAACGTCCTCTGTCATAACCTCGTGGGACGTACCACCCTACCACCAAGCTCCAAGCTACAATTCCCCCGTCCCACCCCCTAGAAAAGGTGTTATCTCGCGCATGTTGCGAGTAACGACCAACGATCTTGCTGACAACTTAACAAATGATCTTTCAAGGATCTGTTTACGATATACCCTGTATTAAGTAGGTTTTGGGTGTTCACAAATTGCCGATATCTTTTGTGGTTTTCAGTTTGATGTCAGTTGTTCTGGACCTTAATACCTTAGATGTACGCAATCCAGTTCAACGGACAACAAACTGGCAATCTTCTTGCAAATATTTTCCGTCCTCTATTTGTTTCTGCAATTCGTCCTTGAACTTCAATTTTGAGATCACTAACGTAGACGAATGCGAGATATTCCGGTGGCTTGATTTATAGAGCGGCAAAGCGTTTTTTTTTCTCATGTACGAAGCAAGTAGATTTTTCTACAAAGCATCTTTTGGCATTATTTCTTATATCAATGTACAATTAGTAGCATTGTTTTGCAAAATCTGTTAGGTAGGTACTTGATAATTTATTACTATATGAGACCTCCTTATCCATTTTTCCTTTTTCCTTGACTACGCTACACTGTTGCTACCGACTATTTTAAGGTTTTCATCTAAGCTTTTTACCCTACGTTAGTGTTAAGGTGTGTATCCAAATGGCCTAGGCAAATATCAACTTAATATATCATGGTCGCATCAGGTAAGCTTGAATTGCTAACGTATATATCATTGCACTTACTCAGGGAAAATATATTTTCTGTTTCACTACCAGCCTACTGTATATACGCTTCAGGAGACGTAGATTTCAACTATTTAGAAAATATTTCATAGCATACACTTTATCTCGCTATGTTATCGCAGAGTAAAAAAAATTCATTCGAGAACACAACTGTCTCATTTAGTATGTTGTTTCTAGAATTTGTTTGCTTTTCCGTTGTTGTTGTTTTGTCTTTTGCTCTTGTCTTTTGTTTGTTTGTTTGTTTGTTTGTTTGCCTGCATTGGCCACTTCTTGGACTTAGCAACCAAACTTTCTTTGAACTTTCGGGGAACTGAATGTCACTTTATAAGATGACCTGTTTTCTTTGCCCGTCATTACTTCTTTGTTCTAATTTCCTTTCATTTAGTCGTAATCTACGTCCCCTTAGTCACGCTGCTGAATGGAATCAATTCAGGGAAATAAAGGGTAGATTGAGGGTTTAAGACTCGGCCAAATGATCGCAAGATTTTGAATACAACATATCGCAACGTTGTTGGGCGCAACATGTTACGCGCGTTGGGCCACCCTGTTGCGACGTGTTGTTTCACGTTGGGTATTGAAAATCGAACTAGTGCGCATGTCCGGGCGCAACATTGTTGCACGGCGGCCTGGCCAAACGACTACAACATCATGCAACATCCACAAATGTTACATGACAGATTTGACCATTTTCAAAATTGAG